TGAACAAAATCCACACAAAATTGTAACAAGAGTCGCGGCCATCAACTCCGAAATTGGGAAATGCAATTCACTCGAAGGAATAAAGCAAAGTAAAGTAACAATGGATGATTTAGTCTTCAGTGCTCCTGACTCACGTAGAGGTAGCCACAAAATATTCCAAGGAAAAGTCAAAAGCTCTCCACTACAAGACGAAGAAGACCAAACGGTCAAAGGAAAAGCTAAACTATAAAAATGGAAGAAACTAAGAAGGAAGCCAGCTCCCTCTGTGCGGCGGCTCCCCCAGGGGGAAGAAGACTTCCGCCCAATTCAGCCCTGCGTTCCTCCTTTTAATGCTGCCCTCTGCGAATTACCAAAAAGGACTTGTATCTCCTTATTCCAAAAATGCCCTCGATTGCTTGCTATGTGAACTCTTTCCTGATAACTATCAAATTGGCCTTTATTGTGATATTTTTGTTCTACTCCCTGAAATAAATATAAATTACGAAAAGTGAGTAGAATCCAATAATTAATTCACATCAGGTCAAGTAATAGGGAAAATTAATAATGAAATAAATGATAAAATTGCAACCTATCAACAACTCAGAAATTTATGCACACAAAAGCCTAGTAGATGAAGCAAAAAGAAATCGGAAGCAAGCCTATACGAAAAGTAAAACTCTCCTCTAATGTCCAAGCATTTTTGAGAACTAACAGGAGAGAGGAAGAATTCCCAAACATTAACCAAAAATACCTTGAACAGTTAGGGGTTTTATTACTTTTGTGTATTTATATATATATATATATTTTATGCGGGGGACGGGGCGGGGGATGGAGTGGGTGTATGTTGCCCCATCCCCCGCCCCGTTTTAAGGCGGGGGTAAATATTTTGCCCCCGCCCCCGCCCTGCCCCATCCCCAGCCCCATGTGTACCCCCGCAGGTACCCGCCCCCATTGCCATCCCTAGTTTATATATCCTGAGCTCCACCCCTTCCCCCAGTCCACTCTATGGGAATTTGCTTTTTCAAAATGTGGTAAGTTTTGTATAAAAGTTGGTAAGTTCAGAAAAAATGTGATATTTTTTTACTAAAAACCTAGTTAGATATGTTATTTAAAGAGTAAATTACATAAATTATGAAACTATATCATTTGTACAAAAATATATTATTTGTTGCACTAAATTTACGTTCACAATCGTGTTCTCGGTAAAAACCTAAAATAGTAGGTTAAAATCTATACGTGTCATTATATTAGCCCCTCATTTATGAGTTATGATTACTCCTCGGCACTTCAACTTTTTCTTTCTTCTATCTCCTATGATAAAAAATTTAACTTTTTAATGATGTCTATTATATTTAAAACAAAACCTCGAGTTGCCATTACTTGTACAACCCCAAAAACCAGGCATCCTTTGAACTCTTAAGAAGACTAATTATTTCTACAATTCACCACTCCATGGCAGGGTAAAGACTAATGTCATAAAAGCTTGACAACTGAAATTAACTGTAAGGTACATTTGTCTTTTCATTAACAGGTTGAGAACTTTTAATAGTTTTTAATTATATCAGTTCCCCTCCTCTTTAATAGTTGAAGCTTCTAGACATGGCTATAAATGAACACACTAGTGTTGGGGTAAGCACAGGTCCTCTGTTACTGTTTGGCGCCACTCTTCTTAGTAGGTGTGTCTTGTGTTCGTATTAAAGCTAAAGAGGGTCCAGCATACAGCTCAGGGGGTATGTGAGAGCCTTTGCATCCTCATCTTAACGGGGATACCTGTCCATAATTTATTTCCTGCAGAATTGCAAAATGGATCCCACCAGGATGAACTCTTTTTATTGCTTCAAAGGAGAGGACCCCAGGTTTCTTTGCTCCTCTTGCTTTGGGGTATTCTATCTTCCACTCTGATCCTCCTGAACATTATATGATTGTTGTCTAGGGAGTAATAGTAGATCAAAATTTCGTATCCTTTGCACCTCCCCTAAACCAAGAGGACAAAAAAAAAAAAGCCTTTTACTTATCAAATATTAAGAGAAATTGTTTTACCTTGGTAGTTGTATGAGTTCTAATACTGTTCCTAATGTCAATTTTCATTCTGCCCATGAGTCACTTTTTAGGTGGAAAATTTTTCCTATCAAATCATTGTTTGGTTGTGCTAAGCTGCTCTGGGCAGGTAGCATTACCCGTTGATGACTTTTCGCATTATTATCTAACGTACAAATACTCATCTAACTGTACTGAGTGATTTAGTATTGTTACTATTATATGCAAAATGACATAAAAGCAACTCCTATGTAGTTGAATTTCACAGAAATTAGCTTGTCCGATTGCTTTGAACTGGTTTGCCATACTTTCTCTTCCATATTCTCCTGTTCTATGTTTGAATCAGCAGCCAGAAGTTACACGCTTTTTCCAATATTTTATGGTCTCCCATTGTGCAGCTATTAAAAAACAAGTGCCTATCAAGACCATCTACAGGCCAACAGCCAATTAGACTATTGGTCACCACAAGACATCTAAGATCTTGATGGGTGGGAGGTTAAGGGTTCAAATCTTGTTTTCTACCAAGTGATCACTGTATGTGGCTTGCCACGTTTGGTGACTCCATGCGCTCATATGGTCCCCCTCCCCTTAGAATATGATAGATTAATTTATAAAGATATTATCGTCTTGATAAAAAAAAAAAAAATCAAGACCATCTATAGAGTTGTATGTAATGGTGAGATGCATGTGTGGTCAAGGATTAGCTAGACTGAGAAAGATGTGGATGATAAAAGTAGCAGGGAAAATCGTTCAAAACGTCCCTCATATTTTGCAAAATAACTTTTTTCGTCCCTCACTTTTAAAAATGTAATTTTGCGTCCCTTACAAATTCATATTGGTCAAATTTGGTCCCTACTTAGGTTTCCAACCAGTTTTTGATCGGAATTCACCATGTGCCTTGCACGTGATCATATTTTAAGGGTAAAATTTTCAAATAAAATTTTATATAATTCGATTCATAATCTCTCACATTTTATAAAATAAATTTTTTCGTCCCTTACATTTCACAAAATGAATTTTTTCATCCTTCACATTTTTCAAAATGAATTTTTTCATCTTTTATTGATCATGTGTATGAATAATTTTTTTTTAAATCCATGTATGTATCTATTTGATTTCAACTGAACAGTACGAATAGCATGTGAAATCAAATAGAGATATATTACATACTATTCGTACTGCCCAAGTGAAATCAAATAGATATATACATGAATTTTAAAAAAATATTAGTTTTTCACTTATATTCATTTTCTTTTACTCGAAATTTGAAAATAAAGAAGACATTTAATCCTAAATATTATCGAGTGTTTATATCGAATTAAATTTGGACAGAAAAAATAAACAAAAGAAAAGTATGACAAAAAGAAATAAGTGATTGGCATTTTCAAATTTTAAAACAATCACAAGGCAAGTAATTCAACTGTTGGTCTTAAAAGTGTCGAATAGAAATTCCATATTTAAACTGAAATTTGTTAGCACAATTATAGAATTCGAGTTGGGATAGAATTCGAGCTGGGACCCATTAATTAGATGACCTTATTATACAATTCAATAAATAAATTATTACCAAAAGAGAAATGTCACAAATATTGAATAGGTTCAAATGGTGAAATCATATAAATATATGCATGGGTTTCAAACAAAATTATTAGTTTTAAACCCCTATATATATCTATTGATTAGCATGTGTATAACTACGATTAGCATATTTAGATGAAATCCAATAGAGATAAATTACATGTTATTCATACTGTTCAGGTAAAATCAATTAGACATATACGTGGATTTATAGAAAAAAAAAAGCTATTCATACGCATGATCAATGAGGTATGAAAAAATTCATTTTGAAAAATGTGAGGGATGGAAAAATTCATTTTTTGAACTGTGAGGAATGAAACAAGTCATTTTGTAAAATATTAGGGACGAAACAATATATTTTGTGAAATATGAGGGACTATGAATCAGATTATGTAAAAATTTGATTTGACAATTTCGCCCTTAAAAATGATCACATGCAAGTCACGTGATGGATTCCGGCAAAAAACTAGTCAGAAACCTAGGTAGGGACCAAATCAATGTGAATTTGTAAGGGACGTAAAATTACACTTTTAAAAGTGAGGGATGAAAAAAGTCATCTTGTAAAATGTGAGAGACATTTTGAACGATTCTCCCAAAGTAGTAGTTGGAATGCATAATAATCTTCTGGTGCTTTTAAATTTTGAGTGGGAGGTAGACGGAAGAAGAAGTGGTATTCTATTATTGTGGTTGTCCTGGACTATTGCTTCCAATGTTCCTGAAACCCTTTTTTTTGTTGTTTTGTTGGGGGGGGGGGGGGGGGGGGGAGAGAAGGATAAGAGCAGGAGTATCAGCTGCAAAGGATGAGAAGCTTGCTGAGGATTTATTTCGGCAGGTGCCTTTTCTTTAATCAGAATGTCATCCTGTTGGCGTAGTCAATGTGTTAAAGCAAAATTAGCTGTAGGTCTTGAAGTCACTTTTATGACCTTCTGGTTATCCACTTTCTTAGTTGGTTGACGATCCTAATGTTTATTTCACTTTCCTATTTGGTTCAACTCGTGGGGAAAAAAAATTCTTGATTAGGACGTCTTTTGGGTGAGAAGACTTTTGTCCTTCCTCCTCTGTATTTTATGCGTGGTTTGCATTAATGGGATGTGTTTCTTGTTTGAGGCCTTCTAAGCCAAATTTAAGGTTGGTTCTAAATAAGCCACATTTTGGTTTTTATATGGATATGACTATTCAACTACACCGTAAATACATAGGGTAAGATAATTTTCCCAATCCTTGTTTTCCTCTTTTTTTTTTTTTTCTCTAAACCAAGCTTGGCTATGTTGTTTAGTAATACTGTTTGGTTATTATTGTCTTCATGATTTCTGTAATTTTGTTGCTTACACTGTGGTTGACCTTATAATGAAGTCAAGTTTAATGGATCCTGGGATGACTAACACATCTCTTTTCCTAAATTTCAGGTACAAATTGGCAAACCCATCAAATAACAGCAGCATTTTGGATCCAGTGGTCGAAAACAACTATCAACTCTTTATGGTAGAGAGACTAATCATGATGGAAGACGACAACGATCTGAGCCTCACAGATGATCCAAAAAAGAGTACAAGGACATGGCAGATACCTGTTTATACACTGGACACAAGAGATTAATGCTGATCCTTTTTACTCATAATAGATCGGAAAAGAGTTGTTCCCTTTGAGATCACAGGAATAGATTTATCCTTTATCTCTAAAGTTCATGATACAATATGTACAATATGTTTATTTTTCCAAAGTTATGATAAAATACATATAATACATTTATTATTTGAAAGTCACCATACAATACATATAATATATTTATTATTTGAAAATCAATGATAAAAGCGGGCAAGACATAATGCTTATATAAGTTTCACACTTATTGTATTAATCCAATTGAGATCTCCATCCATATCTGACAGCCCAATCCACCAGTCAGTCAAGACTATAGTAACTAGACCACATTATTCGATCAACTTGATGGCTGCACATTATTCGATCACATTATTCTATGAAAGAAAACAAAGGCATGAATATTACAATTCTATCATAATGTCCAAAACAAATGTACATGGTAATACATTGGAATTCCCGCATCAATTTGCCATCACACTCGTGCAGCTTTAGTTTACTTTTTGCTTTCTCTACTCAAGATTTTTTCCCCTGATTCCTACATGGAATATTCACTTTTATATCTTTGAATAGATTGTAGCTGAAATATAAAGGCTGCAATTTTTCACAGTGTAACTTATTATTATATTGTATATAAAATTATTTTCAAAAAAATGAAAAGAAGAATAATTCATAAAAAATGCGTACATTGCAAAATAATAATAATAATAATAAGCAAAACCAAAAGAAAAACAGGATTTAACAGCCTAGCTTTACTCCAAAATAGTATTATTTAGATGAAAAAAAAGGTTGATAAGAAAACCCAATTTTTCACAAAGTGAACTCAATATAGAAGTATAGTTCATAGATAGTAAGAATCAGTGAATCTGATTGATTAGAAGATCAAAAGCCCACATATTGCAACTTGTAAATAATAACCTCCATTCCCCTCAAGCAAAAAGAAAAAACAGAGATAAAGATAAAATTAGAAGAAAAGGAGTAGGTAAAGTTTGTAAGCATATAGAAAGGTACGTACCTTAAGGTGCATATAAATCTGTCCATGTGGTTTTATGCAAAGATAATTCTAACCCCTTCAAAACACAAATCTCTCTATCCTGTAAAATATACTCAAAAGTTAATTATTCAAAATTTATGTTCTCAACTCTTAGGGAAACAAATTAAGTCTAGCAAAACAAGACAAAATTTAAAAGTTGGTTGAAAATAGAGTTAGAATATTAATACTTTTAAATCCACAGGAGCTTCAAGCTTCCATGCTACCGTGACTTTCTTAAGCAATGGTGCATCCAAATTTCCAAAACAGAATTTCTTCAACTTTGGGCAATTCGTTATGGTCAACTCAGTGAGTTGGGGAAATTTAAACTCACAATCCTCCTGGTGACTACCACCAAAGCTTCGAAGATTCTTAAGGTCATCCAACCACAGTTCGCACAGTCTAGGAAACTCGAACTCCCTCTTGGTTCTTTCCAGTGCAATTTCTCTATGTTTTTCAACATCATGTTGCTGAGCATTATCTTCTTGGCTGACCTCTTCATTTTCCTGGCCTATAATTCCATGCATTTTCCTGCAGCTCCTAATTTGTAGTTTCTCAAGACTTGTGAGCATGTTAGCCACAGAAGGAGGACAAAACAAAAAGTTTAATGGGCAATGATCTACACATAGACTTCTTAAGTTTTGGAATACTCGAACCGCTTCAGAAAAATTCCTCCAAATGTGGGTTAATCTTGTACAGCAACATAAGTACAGTGTCTCTACTTTGGGAAGAATTTCAAGTGCCTTTTCTGATGGAGTATTTGGAACTTTTAGACCCTCAAAGTCGATAAGAAACTCCATCCCACTACAATCCAACGCCCGAAGTAATTGCAAGTTTTGTAATAATGTAACTGTATTAGCTTTGGCAATGCATCGGATAGAGTTACAACAGGAGAGCACCACAGATTTTAAGTTGTCAAGAGACCCACCAGGCATTTTACCTCCTATTAGCTGCTCGGGGCCATGACCGGGACTCTCCATCGCTAGTCGTTCCAAGCGAGGGAGTGAAACCTGGAAAATTTGGTAAACTTAGCGTAAGCCCCATAATGCTGATTGCAAAATGCAAAATGCTGTTAAAATAGTGTTTGGATCCAGCAGCAAGCAGTTTATGACAAAAAAATCACTAGGGATATTCGTTATGCATATAAGTGTATGTTCGTGTGCTAGCTAAAGAACCTTTAAAAAAATAATTTATCAATTATAGCCTTTACTAGCACCAAAAATGTTGTTATCAATATTTTTATTACCATATTTTATTCATCATCATTGGACATTAATTACTAGCACTAAAGATTCTACACACAACAGCTTCTTCTTCTTCTTCTTCTTTTTTTTTGGGCAAACTCATTGAAGGGCTATAATATAACTGATGAAACATCAATTTTGAAAATATAATTAACATATTGTGAAAGGAAGTGCTTCAATGTGTTTTTGGTGTTCACCTGTATTGAACTATATCAAGTATATCATATAATTACACAAATAGAAAGAGAAAGAAGAGAGACCTGATTGAAAAAAGCCTCGACTTTGTCATTTCTGGAGACAAAACCCATTAAGTTTGTCCACGTAAGGGACAAGACTTTGAGTTGGGGAAGCTTGAGCACTTCCTTTTTCAGACCCTCCTCCCTCAGAATAATGCTCTCTAACTTGCGACAATCAACTATGTCTATCTTTTGGAGTTTCACTAGACATTTCAATATTTTTTGTGAGAAGAGAGTTGTAATTTGTTCACAGCGTAATAACCTGATAGATCTGAGGTTGCATAGTGACGGAGGTTCAACTGGCTCCTTCCACAAATAATTTAAAGCACTTATAAAATTAAGTTTCACCTCTTGAAGTTGATTGAAGCACCCAGGTGGAAGAAATCCATTACATATTTCTTTCAACTCCAAACTTCCTAACTCCATGGACACCAAATTTTCAAAAACATGTCGAGCAACAAGGTTGGTGGTAGAATCAATAAGGCATTCATATTTTCCTCCGTGCAGATCAAGTTTTTTCAAATTGATAAATCCATTTGCACCTAAGTCAGGCACAAGCCTCCTTAAGCACAATGATTTAGAAAGATTCAAAGCGAGATTCTCAGTTCTCTTGACAATGCTAGTAACTTTAGGATAAAACGCTTGTTTCAATGCTTTATCATCAGACAAATGAAGCTCGAAACTAGTTCGAAATTGATAGCTTCCACTGAGATCTCTCTTTTTTCTTTCATAATTAGCTACTACAATGTGAAATCTTGACAACCTCTGAGTATCAAATTCTTGCAAAAATAGAAGCAGGAGGTCAAGGTCATAAAAATCAATTTGGAGACATGCAAGGTTAGAGATTGATGAGATCTCCTTAAAGCATTTTCTTTTCTCTTCTCTATCTCTCCCTAGCCGCAAATGAAGATAAGATCCCAAATACAATTCTTCTAGTTTCTTCAAGCTTGACAAGATACCACTAGGTAAAGGATGGAGGCTACTTTCAACCCTCAAATCCAACAACTTTAAATTGCGCGGCCAAGCAATTTCTGCTGGAAACTGATCATCCTGAATTTTGGATTTAAAGAGACTCAAAGTTTCCAATTGCATCACGTGTCCAAGCATTGCCGACAGTCCAGTGCCCAAGTAACAATAATCCAAACACAGTGTTCTAAGGCTCCTTAACATTTGGCCAGGCCATGATAGCGAAAATTCTATGTGCAAATTATTTAACTCCATGACCCTAAGAGCTTCCATTCCTACAAAAGAATCTTTTGGTAGGTTTAATTTCCCTGATTTGATTACCAAACGCAATAGCATAAGCCTTGGATATTCCTTGCAAAATGGAAGTAGATCATGATTGGAATCTTGGGATATTAGTGAAATTGCAGTGTAAGAATTCTTTTCTCCCACTCCAGCATTCCTCACCAAAAACTCGTGCTCTGCTTTTGATGCAATTGACAAGCAAACCTCTCGCACGACATCGTGCAATTTTACATGGTCTTCTTTTCCACCATCATTTAGCAACAAATAGGAGTTTCTTAACTGATCAACCAGCATGTCTACTTGATCTCTTGTATCTCTGAATGTCTCTGTATCCTGGAACTGCTGTAGCCCTTTTACATACCTAACCAAGCAATCAATTGGAATACTATGATCCTCTGGAAACAAGCTACAAAGCAAAAGTAGGTACTTCATTTCAGCAGTTTCCAAACGATTATAGCTCCATTCAATCCTTGAAAATAGCAAATCTTGAACTTCTTTTAGGTTTCCCATTCTGTCCTTTCTTAGTTGTCGAAGGGCACGATTCCAGGATTCTAGTGTATGATTGCTCCTTAATGCCCTAGCAACAACAACAATTGCAAGAGGTAAACCTTTGCATTCCCCTGCAACCTGTTTCGCAACATCATTCAAAATGAAATCATTAGAAATTCCCGCCTTCTCTTTAAAAAGATGCCATGCTTCTTCCTCAGGCAACATATTGACCACAACAATTTCAGCTCCCATAATACTACACACATCAAAGAGCCGAGATGTCAATATTACTTTTAAGCTCTTGCATTCACCTTTGACGGGAATTCCTAGACTCTTAAAATCAACTTCTTTCCAAATGTCATCCAATATAACAAGAGTTCTCTTGTCATGACCAATCAGTCTCGTATACAATCTTTCAGCTCTTGGCAGATCAGTTTGCTCAGATATTGTCAGCCCTAACTGCTCAGCAAGTTGATTTTGGACATTTCTCATGTCTGGACTTTGAGACACAGTTGCCATGGCAACTTCATCAAACAATTTCTCGAACTTAACCTGGTCAGCAATTTGTTTGACCAGAGTAGTCTTGCCTACGCCGGCCATACCACAAATCGCAATTAGGTTAGTTTTCTCCTGCTTTAAAGCTTCCATCACTTCCTTCTTTGTTGACATCCTAGAAACTAGGCTTTCCTCTAAGGACGGGGTTGATTCACTTAACGGCATTTTCCCTAATGGAGCAATGGATCCAACTTC